TTCACTTCTTGCAGCATCTCATTGGTGAAGTAGCCTCCTTTGTTTGCCTCAATAGTCGTGTCAATGGTTTTGAGTAATTCTGCCACCTGATACTGGTTGGTCCTGTATTCATCTCCCTGGTTGTTCTTCCAGTATTTGTTATCAATGACGTGGCAGCGACCCCCACACTTCTTGATCAGATCACTCAGAGCTTTACTTTCATTCACAAACTCTTCGATCTTCATTCCCTCAGGAAGCTGGTCACCATGAGTAAAGATTATTGTACTAAATCTAAGTGCTTCATCTGAGAAATATTGATTAATTTTGTCTATTACAGCCTTTTCTTGCTCTGTGTATTTCTCCACTTTAAGCACAATGAGAAACACATGAGGACCAGGAGCACATTCTGTGATACACCTCAATATTTCAGACTTCATCTCCTCCCCAGGTCTGTTTGTGTCAATAAATCCAGGAGTGTCAATAAAGAGTACCATTCTTCCACTGACTGACATGAACTTTGCCTGACATCTCTGTGTTCCAGATTTGGCAGTATGATCTACTTCAAACACAGGCTCTCCACACAGGGTGTGGGCAAAACTGCTCTTTCCAGCTCCAGTTTTTCCCAGGACCACAATCCTTCTTGCTGTCTCTATAAAACAGTAATGATTTGGTGTCAGTTATTTATCTATTTAATTTATCTATTACTCTGTCTAAACAGTGCAACAAAAATAAACAGTAAAGTCAAATAAAACATTTATGACAACATATACAAGCTATAGCTGCAAATGATTGATGTGTCTGCTTTCTTTTAAATGTAAATAAAACTGCATGAAGTTCACAAACCAGTCAGTAAATGGCTTAAAAATGCATCGTGGTACAGTAGAAAGAATGTTCATTTCTTTGACTGTTGTGCACAGTTCAGATCTAGCTGTTCAGATGGTGGATACCAACCAAATAATTTAGAATTATTACGTCTAGCAAGCATATACTCCGTATTATTCTGCTATAATATTCAGATTTACAGCCTTAAATATATTAGGTAATGTTTACACAACTACTTTAGGTATTGAGTGGAGTAGATAACCTTGACTGAGAAAAACAATCACTTTCAGCTGGTTGGAGAGAAGTTTCTTCCCTTCTGTTTCCCATGTTTTTGTTAATTATCAATACATGATTATAACTGCAACTTACCATCCATGTTTTTGAAAGCAAAATCAGCGCAGAGACACACGACTACTCAGATCCTGTGGACGTTGTGACTGCGCCTTTTGTTTTGTTCCTGCACCTGTTGGACTTGTTTCTCAGCAGCAAACTAAAATGATGAGCTATGATGACCTCATAGTTTGTTTCTTTTTGTTTTTACAAACTTGGATGAGAGAACTATCGTGCATATCGAAATTTAGTAATATAAAAAACCCCACAATTTTTCTTTAATTTTTTATGTAAAAATCTTGACCAGCACCTTGTTGTAACGCAACGTTAAATATGCTTGTAGTAAATTTGTGATTAGCAAAAGACAAGGTCAAGACTCTAGAAAAATGGTATTACTCTTCTAGAATACTGTAATTAAAAGTATTATGTAATTATAAATACAGAAAAAGGATGTGTTACGCATTTGAAATCTTCTTCAAGCACCTGTTCCCTTTAGGGGTCACCTAAGCGGATCATATGATGCCATCTCACCCTAACCCTAGCTTCATCCTCTGTTATACCAACTCTCTGCATGTCCTCCTTCACTACTGTACAGCCACAGATCTTATCTGTGGTCTTCCTCTTTTCTCTTGCCTAACAACTCCATGGTCAACATTCTTTGTCTATTATCCCTCAATTGTCATGGTCCTGGGCCATGTGGGCCCAGTATTCTCAGTTCCTTGTACTTTTGTATTTCGTTCCTTATTTAGGCCATGCTTCCTGGGTTGATCTGTTATGTTGTTTCTTATGTGTTTTCCCTTCGTGACTCTCACCCCCTGTGTGCCCCTCTGTGTATTTATGAGCCCTCGTCTCTCTTTGTGTTTTATTCTGTTTTCCCCAGCCCGTTATGTCTGCGTTCTCCCTGTGCTCTCTCCCCTCCTGTTTGAACCTCTGTGTACTTCCTGTTTTACTTTGCCCATCTCCCATCAGTGTTACGTTCACTCCTGCCGTGTCTTGTTATGATTATCAGTGTCACCTGTGTTCCCCGTGTGCATCCACTTCCCCTGAT